GATACAAATCGATGGTACGCTGCGGTGAACGTCGCTGCGGTGTAGTCGCTGACAAGTTCGAGATGTATGGCCTTGGTTGTCAAACATATAAACAATGCGATGTACGCCTTATGAGATTTCTGACCGCGACCGGGGGCTGTCCGTATGGCGATGGGCCCTGCGTAATCGACACCCGTATGCAGAAAAGCGCGGGAGACCCGATTTACTCGCATCTCCGGTAGCTCACCCATGAGTTCGTTTGACACTTTGGCCGCTTCGCGGGCGCATCGGACACACTTGTGTAGAACGAATCGAACCGTAGCGCGAGCACGCAGTATCCAAAATTCCGTGCGTAAGGACGCGAGAGTGAGTTGGGAACCCCCGTGCATTGTGCGGAGGTGGTGGTGCTCGATGATGAGAGTTAAAAGCGGATGTGATCGAAGGACGATGGGATGCTTCATCGTTTCTGGGAGGTTAGACTTTTGGAGCCGGCCGCCGACGCGGAGCAGGCCGTCAGAGTCAATGTGCGGATGCAAGGATCTAAGCGGGCTGGCTTTCGGCAGCGCAGTTTTGTTTCTGAGGCTCGCAATTTCGTCGCGAAACGTATCGTTCTGCATTGATCGCAGCCAATAACGCTTTGCGTCCTGAATGTCGTCGGTGCGAAGGAGTGGGGGGCGAAGGTCGCGTGCTGCCTCGGCCTCGCGAGACTGGTTGCGGATGCGTGCCCGCCTGACGAAGCGAAGCATATACGCGGTAACTCGTAAAAGTTTCGGCCAAGATGAGAACCGAGAAGCGAGATCCCACGGTTCCGAGGGGCTTAGAACGCACACGACTGGTTGAGGTCGTGCTTCTGGAATGCCGTCCGTAGCATCATGAGCGGCTGGGAGATCGCGAACGGGCCAGAACTCGGGTGATTCTTTCAGCCACGACGGGCCGGTCCACCATAACGGATGTAGCTGAATCTCGTCGGGAGCGAGACCGCGCGACGCGCAGTCCGCAGGATTGTCGTGAGTGTTCACATGACGCCAAACCACCTCGGGGAGTGCCGTCTGAATTGCCGCGACCCGGTTGGCGACAAAAGTTTTCCAATGAGAAGGAGATTTGCTAAGCCATGCCCGTACGATGTCCGCGTCTATCCAACAGTGGCAGTCGCCCAGCGGAATTTGAAGGGTGGTGCGGACGAAATGCATGAGACCCGCGAGGAGATGCGCGGCAAGTAATTCTAAGCGAGGCACAGTGATAATTTTTAGGGGAGCAACTTTTGATTTTGCTATGAGAAGCGAGACGGTGACCGTTCCATCCGCAGCGTACCATCGACGTGCACCGTTCGAAGATAAACGGCGGCAGCGTAGGCTTTTGTGGATGCATCGGAGAACCCGTGTAGGGCGAGATGCAAGGTGTCGGCGCCTTGCTTTGTCCAGCGGGGTATTTGGACTTGATTCACGCACGGAAGCTTTGAATGATATGATACCCATGGACGGAGATGAGTGTCCGGAATCTCATCGTCCCAATTTATTTTTAAAAGCCAGAGTTGCTGCATAAAAATTTTTGCGGTGACGACGACCGGGGCCACCCAGCCGAGCGGATCGAACAGTTTGGCAATAGTTGAGAGAATGGCGCGTTTTGTTGTGCCGGGATTTTGGGTAGCGACTTGAAATTGGAACACGTCCTGAGGCGGATTCCAGGCAATCCCGAGAATTTTGAGATGCTCATCGTTCTTGAGAACTTTGGGATTCGCGAGGCCATGATCGGAGGGATCGAGGTCGGCGATGAGCTCCGGACAATTACTTGCCCATTTTCGGAGACGAAAACAACCTTTGGCCAATAGTGCATTTACTTGATCCCGGGTTTGACGCGCGAGAACTTTGTCGTCGGCGCCGAAAACACAGTCATCGACGTATGTTTCTTCGAGTAGGACGGGAACCGCGAGAGGGAATTGCGATCCCTCGTCGGTGGCGAGCTGCTCTATGGAACGAATGGCTGCAAAGGGAGCATAGGCACAGCCATACGTGACGGTTAGCATCCGATATTCTTCGACGGGATCCGAAGGAGAGCGACGCCATAAAATGCGCTGATAATCTGTGTCGCGCGGGTCAACACGGATTTGCCGATATATTTTCGCTATGTCGGCGGTAAAAACATATCGGTACTGCCTCCATCGGAGGATCACGACGACGAGATCACGTTGGAGTTTTGGCCCGATCAGGAGGTGATCGTTTAAGGAGGTGCCATTTGTGGTTCGCGCGGAGGCGTTGAATACAACGCGGAGACGCGTTGTTTCGCTGGTGGCTCGTACTATGGCGTGATGCGGAATGTAGTATCGTTTAGTGACGTGAACGTCGAGATCTTCCGGGGGGATCTTGGCCATGTGGCCGAGCCTTTCGTACTCGTCCAGGAATTCGCGATATTCGGAAGCGGTGGTCGGCTCACGTTCAAGACGGTGTTCTACGCGCCTGAGACTCGAAAGGGCGGCGAAGCGGGATTCGCCTAACTGAGGGAGGCCGCGTTTGAATGGTAGCCTGACAACGTACCGTCCTTCAGGCGTGCGAGTGTGCGTGGTTGCGAAATGTTCCTCGCATTGGAGTTCCTCGGGACTCATGTGAGCTTTCCGGGGAATGTCTTCGACCTCCCAAAAGCGACGAAGGTCGGAGTCGAGGTCATCGAAAACGGTTCCGTGATGGATTTGCACGGATTCACGGGGAAGAGAGGAAGGAGGGGAAGCAACGGGACCGGAGAGTATCCAGCCGAGTGTGGTATTCTGAGCAATCGGCTCATTTTCGGCACCTTTCCGAACTCCCTCCAAGAGTAAGAAACCGAATAAATCGGCACCGATAATTAAATCGATCGGGTCGAGATTCATGGGTTCGCTATCGGCGAGCTTGAGTCCTGTGATATGCTTCCATGAACGCATGGAGTTGACACGGCTCGGCTTATACCGAGTGAGCGATTTCATGATGAGCGCGGTTGTCGAATAGGCGGGCCCATCGCACGACGTGGGAGTTAATGTGATTGTAACAGCGTGGCGTATGATGGATTTGGTATCGCCAATGCCCGTGACGCATACGGAGCGTGAGATCTTCGGTAATCTCAGGCATTGGGCGATCGACTCCGTAATCAAGGTAGCAGCAGACCCTTGGTCGAGAAGGGCTCGAATCGTGACCGCACGGCCGTCCGATGAATGCACGCGAACGCGCGCGGTGGCGAGTAGAATTTGCGAATTCGGCGACACGGTTTGCGAGACTGTATGTGACGCGACTTCACTTTCGATTTTTTCGATTGCCGCTACCGTGACTGCGGATTCTGCTGGTTCGGTTTCATTGTTTTTGACGGACGCATCGAGATGCAACAAAGTGTGGTGTCGCTTGCTGCATTGCTTGCAGCTGCGGGAGCTTGTACAATCTTTGACCGGATGCTTTGCGCTGAGGCAATTGAAGCAACGCTTTACTTTTCGGATGAAATCGGCACGTTGAGCCGGTGTTTGATTTAGAAAGGTGGAACATTGGTACAACAGGTGACTTTTTTTGCACAGAGGACAAGATAATGTCGCGGTCGACGCCGCGTGTGATGCGAGAGCTTTGTTTTTCGGTTTAGAAGACTCCGCGACCTTGGGAGTCACGGGCACGATAGCCTCTAGCGCGCGAACTCGCGATTCGAGAAATTGATCGAGTTCTGTGTATTTAGGATACTCTGCCGTATCCCCGAGCTTGAGTTCCCACGCCTTTCTCGAGAATTTATCAAGTTTTTGCGCAACGAGAAATACTAATACGTCATCCCAATGTTCCACCGGACGCCCTAAATTTTGTAAAGCTTGTATCGCGGCGTTCGTTTGATCGCGGAGGTTCCGAAGGTCTTTGGAAGTTTCGGAGACCAGCGCCGGCAGCTGGAGCAGCGTTTGTAAATGCCCGGTAATTAGACGACGCTTATTGTCGTACCGCGATTGCAGGATGTCCCACGCGACCACAAAATTTGCTTCGGTAATCGCGAGATGAGTCAACACGTTACTTGCGTCCCCTTTTACACACGAGCAAAGATAGTGCATGCGGTCGACATTAGAAATGGTGGCATCGTTACGAACCAGGGAGGTGAAGCGATCTCGAAAACTTTCCCATTTGTCAAAGCTGCCGTCGAACGTCGGTAAGTTGATCCGTGGCAAGTGAGAGGACGGACGGAATGAGTCAGCCAGACCGCTTACGTTGATCGTTGAGTGGTGGGGTGGCTGTGGTTCGAAGGTGGCCAGCACCTCTGCCATGAAGTCCGCAGCCTCGTTGTAGACATCCTCGCAGTTCTCGAACAGATGGTTTTGAAAGTACGAGTGAGAGGCTTTCAATTTATCGTCGGCATAGAGAACGAGTTTTCCATCGAGCTCCTGACATTTAGCGAATGTGTCTTTGAGACCGGCGAGTCGCTGTCGAGTTACGGCTTGCGTCATCTTCGCTTGCCCGAGTTTCTTATAGTTGGCCAGCGCTCTCGATATTTGCCCCATGAGCTGAGTTTGCAAAGCGAGAAGTTCATCGCACGATGACATGGTGATTGGAATACACAACAAGTTACAGAGCGGGAAAGTCGCTAAGTTTCGTTCTCCTTGACGTCGATCCGGCTCGAAGGACCAAAATGTTTGTTGTGTTGACACCACGGACGCTGTGTTTCAACCTTGGCGGAAGGTTCGATCGTCAAGGCAAAGGTCACTTTTCAAATTAACGACTTCGTTAGTTAGCTCAACAAATAATTTATTCCAATTAGGCGGAGGCGCGCGATACTGGACGCTGATGTGAGGCGTGCGAGTCGTCGTCGGCTGGTGGAGGCGCGCACTGCACCGGCGGATTGAAGACGGATTCGTTCGACACGGAAACGAGCACGGGCGTTTGTGAATTAACGATAACGGGCGCGTCGTGGTTTCTGGAGCTCTGGACCTCTATTCTGTAACTCTAACGACAGTGTCGGTATCGTTATGTCGTCGTTGCGCAGCTTTTTTTCCATATAGTATACCTGCGCAACGACAACGTAACGATACCGACACTGTCGTTACGAGTTACAGAATAGGGGTCCTGCTGAACGGGCTCGCGCGTGGAAAATAGGCACGTCCGTTTAATTTGCGCACCGCGGTTGCAACTCCGGAGGCAGACAGTTCTTTCACACAGGGTGTAGGCAGTAGGTTGTCTACGATTACGATTATCAACTCGTTCGGATTGCGTACGAATAGACAGTAGTTGCCCGGCACGAATTCGAAGCGTTTCGTGTGGTAGCTAATTGCCGACTCGACTATCGAGAGCGACGCACATGTCGATCGTCGGTGATCGCGCAAACTTGACTGTTTCGGTGGGAGGGGAATTCGCACGTGTAACGACGGGCCATGCGGTCCAATAACGAGAGGGCTTATCGCAACGCGACGTTGCTCGCTGATTCCGGAACATACCGCCCGCCTCGAATAAATACATTCGAAATTATTATTTTACAACATATGTCACAACGAGGGAAAATAACAAAAATGTGTCAATTAATGAGTGGTGCCGCCCGCCATGGCGGAATCTATGGGCTGTTCGTTGTTGATGTCCACCGGGAGGAAGCACAGTTTAGTTATGGGGCGCTTGTACTCCGACCGACTCGTCCTCACGGTGACGACTCGGGTCAAACCGTCGTCGCCTGGATGACACACGGTTATGCGCCCGAGTTCCCATTGGCTCGGCGGCGCGAGCGGGTTGCGAATGAGGACGATTTGACCCAGTCGGGCTAATCGCTGAACGACGCGCCATTTCGGCCTTTGCTGAAGGGTGTGCAAGTAATCGTGCGACCAAGACTTCCAAAAACCTTCGGTAATTCGCTGAGCCAACTGCCACCGAGACAGTCGGTTTTCGTTAATGTCGAGCACGCTAGGCTCGGGCGAAGCCACAAGGGAAGCGCCTACTAAAAAATGACCGGGGGTCAACGCTTGATAGTCGTCGAGATGTTCGGAGATAGCGGCGAGAGGTCGCGAATTTAGGCATGCCTCGATGCGGCAGAGGATCGTTGTCATTTCTTCATAGGTAAGTGTATGAGACCCGATGCATCGCTTTAGGTGGTGTTTGACACTTTTGACACCAGCCTCCCAGAGACCGCCGAAATGTGGCGCGGCCGGAGGCAGGAAATGCCAGGTCGTTTTTTCGCTAGCGGAGCGATTGAGGAAGTTCGGTTCGCGAACGGCTTTATAGTAGGCGTCGGATAACTGCCGATCGGCGCCGTGAAACGTCGTTCCGTTGTCGGAATACATGTGCTGAGGCAAGCCTCGACGCGATACAAATCGATGGTACGCTGCGGTGAACGTCGCTGCGGTGTAGTCGCTGACAAGTTCGAGATGTATGGCCTTGGTTGTCAAACATATAAACAATGCGATGTACGCCTTATGAGATTTCTGACCGCGACCGGGGGCTGTCCGTATGGCGATGGGCCCTGCGTAATCGACACCCGTATGCAGAAAAGCGCGGGAGACCCGATTTACTCGCATCTCCGGTAGCTCACCCATGAGTTCGTTTGACACTTTGGCCGCTTCGCGGGCGCATCGGACACACTTGTGTAGAACGAATCGAACCGTAGCGCGAGCACGCAGTATCCAAAATTCCGTGCGTAAGGACGCGAGAGTGAGTTGGGAACCCCCGTGCATTGTGCGGAGGTGGTGGTGCTCGATGATGAGAGTTAAAAGCGGATGTGATCGAAGGACGATGGGATGCTTCATCGTTTCTGGGAGGTTAGACTTTTGGAGCCGGCCGCCGACGCGGAGCAGGCCGTCAGAGTCAATGTGCGGATGCAAGGATCTAAGCGGGCTGGCTTTCGGCAGCGCAGTTTTGTTTCTGAGGCTCGCAATTTCGTCGCGAAACGTATCGTTCTGCATTGATCGCAGCCAATAACGCTTTGCGTCCTGAATGTCGTCGGTGCGAAGGAGTGGGGGGCGAAGGTCGCGTGCTGCCTCGGCCTCGCGAGACTGGTTGCGGATGCGTGCCCGCCTGACGAAGCGAAGCATATACGCGGTAACTCGTAAAAGTTTCGGCCAAGATGAGAACCGAGAAGCGAGATCCCACGGTTCCGAGGGGCTTAGAACGCACACGACTGGTTGAGGTCGTGCTTCTGGAATGCCGTCCGTAGCATCATGAGCGGCTGGGAGATCGCGAACGGGCCAGAACTCGGGTGATTCTTTCAGCCACGACGGGCCGGTCCACCATAACGGATGTAGCTGAATCTCGTCGGGAGCGAGACCGCGCGACGCGCAGTCCGCAGGATTGTCGTGAGTGTTCACATGACGCCAAACCACCTCGGGGAGTGCCGTCTGAATTGCCGCGACCCGGTTGGCGACAAAAGTTTTCCAATGAGAAGGAGATTTGCTAAGCCATGCCCGTACGATGTCCGCGTCTATCCAACAGTGGCAGTCGCCCAGCGGAATTTGAAGGGTGGTGCGGACGAAATGCATGAGACCCGCGAGGAGATGCGCGGCAAGTAATTCTAAGCGAGGCACAGTGATAATTTTTAGGGGAGCAACTTTTGATTTTGCTATGAGAAGCGAGACGGTGACCGTTCCATCCGCAGCGTACCATCGACGTGCACCGTTCGAAGATAAACGGCGGCAGCGTAGGCTTTTGTGGATGCATCGGAGAACCCGTGTAGGGCGAGATGCAAGGTGTCGGCGCCTTGCTTTGTCCAGCGGGGTATTTGGACTTGATTCACGCACGGAAGCTTTGAATGATATGATACCCATGGACGGAGATGAGTGTCCGGAATCTCATCGTCCCAATTTATTTTTAAAAGCCAGAGTTGCTGCATAAAAATTTTTGCGGTGACGACGACCGGGGCCACCCAGCCGAGCGGATCGAACAGTTTGGCAATAGTTGAGAGAATGGCGCGTTTTGTTGTGCCGGGATTTTGGGTAGCGACTTGAAATTGGAACACGTCCTGAGGCGGATTCCAGGCAATCCCGAGAATTTTGAGATGCTCATCGTTCTTGAGAACTTTGGGATTCGCGAGGCCATGATCGGAGGGATCGAGGTCGGCGATGAGCTCCGGACAATTACTTGCCCATTTTCGGAGACGAAAACAACCTTTGGCCAATAGTGCATTTACTTGATCCCGGGTTTGACGCGCGAGAACTTTGTCGTCGGCGCCGAAAACACAGTCATCGACGTATGTTTCTTCGAGTAGGACGGGAACCGCGAGAGGGAATTGCGATCCCTCGTCGGTGGCGAGCTGCTCTATGGAACGAATGGCTGCAAAGGGAGCATAGGCACAGCCATACGTGACGGTTAGCATCCGATATTCTTCGACGGGATCCGAAGGAGAGCGACGCCATAAAATGCGCTGATAATCTGTGTCGCGCGGGTCAACACGGATTTGCCGATATATTTTCGCTATGTCGGCGGTAAAAACATATCGGTACTGCCTCCATCGGAGGATCACGACGACGAGATCACGTTGGAGTTTTGGCCCGATCAGGAGGTGATCGTTTAAGGAGGTGCCATTTGTGGTTCGCGCGGAGGCGTTGAATACAACGCGGAGACGCGTTGTTTCGCTGGTGGCTCGTACTATGGCGTGATGCGGAATGTAGTATCGTTTAGTGACGTGAACGTCGAGATCTTCCGGGGGGATCTTGGCCATGTGGCCGAGCCTTTCGTACTCGTCCAGGAATTCGCGATATTCGGAAGCGGTGGTCGGCTCACGTTCAAGACGGTGTTCTACGCGCCTGAGACTCGAAAGGGCGGCGAAGCGGGATTCGCCTAACTGAGGGAGGCCGCGTTTGAATGGTAGCCTGACAACGTACCGTCCTTCAGGCGTGCGAGTGTGCGTGGTTGCGAAATGTTCCTCGCATTGGAGTTCCTCGGGACTCATGTGAGCTTTCCGGGGAATGTCTTCGACCTCCCAAAAGCGACGAAGGTCGGAGTCGAGGTCATCGAAAACGGTTCCGTGATGGATTTGCACGGATTCACGGGGAAGAGAGGAAGGAGGGGAAGCAACGGGACCGGAGAGTATCCAGCCGAGTGTGGTATTCTGAGCAATCGGCTCATTTTCGGCACCTTTCCGAACTCCCTCCAAGAGTAAGAAACCGAATAAATCGGCACCGATAATTAAATCGATCGGGTCGAGATTCATGGGTTCGCTATCGGCGAGCTTGAGTCCTGTGATATGCTTCCATGAACGCATGGAGTTGACACGGCTCGGCTTATACCGAGTGAGCGATTTCATGATGAGCGCGGTTGTCGAATAGGCGGGCCCATCGCACGACGTGGGAGTTAATGTGATTGTAACAGCGTGGCGTATGATGGATTTGGTATCGCCAATGCCCGTGACGCATACGGAGCGTGAGATCTTCGGTAATCTCAGGCATTGGGCGATCGACTCCGTAATCAAGGTAGCAGCAGACCCTTGGTCGAGAAGGGCTCGAATCGTGACCGCACGGCCGTCCGATGAATGCACGCGAACGCGCGCGGTGGCGAGTAGAATTTGCGAATTCGGCGACACGGTTTGCGAGACTGTATGTGACGCGACTTCACTTTCGATTTTTTCGATTGC